ATTCTGAGATCTGTGAGAACAAACATTAAAAACCTGACAACAGGGCCACTGATCTAATGCGCCTGCTTAGGCAAGCTTAGGCAGGTCCAAGGGACCACGGTTCAATCCTCAGGACCGAATGCCACACCAGCCCCACCCTCACGGTGGGCTGAGCTGGCCAAAAGCAAAACAAAACAAAACAAAACAACCTGACAACAAAAGTAAAGAAATGAATGGCAAAACTATGCAAGCTAAAATCTTGTTCTCTACTAAGATACATTAGTGTGGAGAAAACCCACGTGCTAACTTATGAAATACTCTGCAATGTAGTAATCTATAATAGTCTATATTCAATGCAATCATGCCAAGGTATAGAGAGAAATGTTGAGACTGATCGGTATATTCTCTTTATCAGAGCAGACAGAAAACACATTCAAATTTTTTTTTCAAAATTATTTAAAAATTCTTTATAGTAAAACTCAAACTATTTTCCATGCCTAATAATGTGCAATAATATAGTTTATGAATATTTTGGGCAGATTTTAGTTAAGAAGTATAAATGAGTAATGTTTAGTATTTCAAAGCAGAGCAAAGACAAAAATAGTAGGCTGAAAGTATCATAGATAATTTAAGAACTGTAATGGCCAAGAACACTTGGCTCCTCCACAGTATACTTAGAAAAAGGACAGGCTTCACCAAGCTTCAGAGTTCTATGAATCTGGTGATCCAGTCTCTACTGGCTGTCCTTTCCATGGCAGTTCATGCAGGACCACTGTCAGAGCTGTTGCTGGAGCTTCAGAACCCAGTGTGCATGGGAGAGTGACCAGCAATGCAGTTTTTTAATTGGTCATATTATACAATTTTTAAGAGAGAGATTACAAACTGACATGATTTCAGGTGTTTAGCAAGCACTATAAATGAGTTAAGTGTGTCAGGTGTAAGATTTTATCTGGAGATAAATTACCACACAGGATGCATTTCCAAAATCATTGTATCTTGCATTTTCTCTGTAATTTGTATTTATTAAATTTGGATCTGAATAATGTTTGTTAGTTTGGAATATAATGCAGATCTACAACCTCTAACTCATAACTCATAGCCTTGACATGTAGCAACAACCCATCCAGCTCCATAGCCAGCATTATCTTGTCTTCTTATGGCTGCTACACACTTTCCTTCTGATCTATCTTTTTTTGAGGGGGAGAGGGCAGTACAGGGTCTTGCTGCACAACTCAGACTCATAGTGATCCTCCTGTCTCAGCCTCCACACACTGGGATTACAGGTGTGTGCCTCCACACCCTTCTTCAAGT